CAAACAACGCGACATGCGTTGCGCAGGTGGTCAACCAGCCATACACCACTGAGACGCAAGTGACCTGCGAATAAACGTCGCCTCGGGGGTGACGCAAATTGACATGCAGCGACACGACACGCTAATGGACACGGTGACATGCTAGTGACAACGCAGTAGCATTGACACGTGACAATCTCACAAATGACACGCAGTGGCACGGTGAATGTTTGCAGCGATCAACTGTTGCTCTGGCATGTTGACGCGCAGGTGACATGCCAAGTGACTCGCGGTTATGAGTAGGTGATGCGAACAAGTGATGCTGGTGATGCGAAGCGTCCTTTTAAGCTGATGCCATGTGGAGCGTGTTTCAAAAACACTTGCCCAATCCGCCCTGCGCTTGCCCTCTCTGCATAAGTCTCCGCTGCTGCCGGCGCACAACTTGCATCACTTGCGTGTCATTCTCGTGTCATCGCGCGTCAGTGTGTGGAACTTGCGTGCCTCCGCTCCTCACTCACACGCTGTCACTTGCGAGTCATGGTCATGGGTATCCCCATTTTGGTCTTTGTTTTGAACATTATGTCTACCGCCGAGTGGGCAGTAGTCAGAGGGTGCTGCTAGCAATTTGACCTGCCAGGCCCAAACAGCCTGGCGGGTCAACAATAAGTACCCAAAAATGGATTCCGACTAAAACAGGTCCCCTGATGATATAATTTTGACCCATACCCAAACGACCCAAATAGGCGAAGTGCCTCCTTCACGCCGGCACTGGCTTGGTCAACTTCTGGCAGCAGGCTATCCAGAATCTCCTCACGGCTCGGCTGGCACACTTGCGGATCGGCGAACCAAACACTGGGCTTGCTTCACTCACTTGCGATCGACTGGATTGGCCAAAAAAGCAAGTCCATGTTTTATTTGCCACTGACTAAAATGGTCTCCCCAAAAAGTATAAAGTCCAGGAATTCGGAAGTGAGTTAAACACAAGCCACTGATGTAGTTTGCCCTAGGGGGTTCAAAGCTGCCCCCCCCGAAACTTCTGCAACAAGGGCTATTGCACGAAGTCTGCCTGCTGATTGAGCGGGTTGGGCCCATGAAACAGTGGCTCAAAGAACGGCCTGGCCAATGATAAACCCTGCAAATCCCTGCAACAACGGCCGCAAGTTTCAGGCATGGGCAAAGGAAAGCAGTTCAAACAGCCGTTCAAGCAAAATGCAGGCGGAGGTAACATTCGCGTGGCGAAACATCAGCAAAGCGAGTTGCGAGAAACTGCAACCAGAGTCTTAGCCTGGGCGCCCTGTCGAAACATGGGCGGAAGTGGTAAAGACGTTCAACAACACTAGCCCGAACAAAACATGTCTCGGACCGAATCTGCCGACCAAATTCATTAACCCAAAGGACAGCTTGATCCATGGTTCCCCTAGGCAGGTGTGAACCCCGAAGCATGAACTTGTATGAACCTGGCTTCATCTCAGGAACCCGCAGCAAACAACAAAAATCGAGTGGCAAACTGGTCAGTTTGCAACTTGCTCCTTTGGATATCCTTGGGAAAAAACGGGCATCCCTTTTTGGGTTGGTTGACTTTCAAGAAACAGGGACCCCTTCCCCAAAAGGGTGAACAATGAAGCAACCCACTGGGCAACTGGGCGAGGCTACGCCCACCATCTCGCGCGCAAAGGGAAACCGAGCGAAAAATCTGCGCCTGGACCTTGGCGGGCTGAGCCGCCTTCATCTCCTGGGAGGTGTCACGTGCGTGCGGGTGAAAGGGGAACACAAAAACGGGCGATGTCTCGTTTCAAAACGCACCCTCAAGAAAACACACACACAAACAGCACATATGTTTTTTCATAGTGAACAGCTGTTGCCTTGCGTGCCCCGACCCGGCTGCACGCACAGCGATGACTAAGTTTTGATCTCGTACATCTCGTTTCGCATGGTTTTCTACAACACTTTCTCGTCAGGGGGGGCTGATTTGGTTTCAGGGTCTTCTGACGGTATCAATAAAACTATTAAATTCTCAAAGGCTTTGTCGTCGCTCATCTAGCTGTTCGGCTCATGTTGGCCCGGCGGGCCTAAAAAGGGTAACATCAGGTTCATGAAGTGGGCACATGGGGATGTCTTTCTGCTGGGGCCCTTCAAAAGACGAACTGAAACCACCAGCAACCAGTTTGACAGTTTCATTTCCGATTCGGAGGTTGCTATTCATTTCAAGCCTCAGACTGTTCATGACTTCCGCAAACCCACCGGCCGTGGGGTCTTTCCACGACTTACGTTTCAAAGGCTTTGCTTTCGCAAGTCCTGAGCAACGAAACGTGAAATCGACACAACGCTTCCGCAAACCTTCCACAAACAGCTCCGTGTTTGCACACAATCAAAGCCACGTGAAAACTAAGCCGGCAAAAAAGAAAGAACCACACGACAACCGCTCAAATTTACAAGCCAGCCCCCCAAAAAAAAAAACGAGAACGAAAATGCAAATTTGGAGACGAACCAGCCCCACCAAACGGCGGCGGTCCTTCCCAAGCTTGGCCAGCTGGTTGCAGCGCTGCTTGAAATTCAGCTCCTCCAGGGCCGCCTGGAACTTGGACTTGAACTCCTCGGGACGACCAAGCTGCCGAAACCGGTTGGGAGGGAGGAAACCCGGGAAGCTGGGAGAAACTTTTGAGTCATAATCAAAACCTGGTACTAAAATGGTCCACCCAGAACCATGTAAAGAATTAAGAAGGCGGCCGCAGCTATTTATGGCTGGGATTGTCCCTTACTAACCACCTTCATCTACCCAGGTTTTGATTGTGACTCTTTTGGAGAAACCCATCAACGGGTGGACTTGTTGTCCAACTGCAGCGTGGACGCAGCGTGGACGCAAGGGGATGGGGGGAGTCAGACCAGGCCAACCAACTCTGGAGATGTCCGGGGCCCCTCTAAATCAAGCTGGAGGTCCGCCCAAGTTGTGTTTTGAGAGAAAAGGCAAACCAAATTGGAAGCACTTTCCGCAACACTTGGCATCTTACTGAATCGAACGGAAAAGCGGGGCTTCATTCCGGTCCTCCATGGCGCGAACAGACTTCCTAGCAAGAGCTCGGAGCTCCTGCAACTTTCCGAGAACCTTGTGTGAACCAAATAGGCTGCGAGTTGTCAAGTAGCAAGCGCTGAACATGAGCTTCCCAATTGCCGGCTTCCGGATTCGCGTGCAACGAAAGAACCGGCCAAACGCTCCTGCTGCTTCAGCTCTGACCAATGGAACTGATCAGCTTGGCTGTTGTTGGCATCTGAGCATTCCCCCACAGCTCCAAAACAGAATTGACCCGTTTTTTTTTTCATTCCTCGCATGCGTGGCAGGATGTCTGCAAAAATCTAGTGACACGGCAGTCCGCATCCGAGCGTCCAAATGTATTTCCGCTTGTGTGTGTGACATGGATTCTCATGGTATCATCCGCAACCAACAGGAAACTGGCCACTTGGAGGCTGGAGAGCTTCCTAATCCAGAGTGATGATCATCCCATCTCGTTCACCGGCCAGCTGGCCGGGCAACTACTCCGCGCACGCCTCAGCATTATTCGGGCGCGGGGAGGGTCAAACTGAATTGATGGCCTGCAAAGCATCGCCCAAAAGAGAAAACCACTCTTCATTGTCAGCCAACAATTATTAATTATGCCCAAAGCGTGAACTTAGGCCGCAGCCTTAAGCCTTGTCATTTGCCAGGGCTCCCACAACCCCCTGCTAAAAGCTGCCCCCGCTCTTCTTTATGGGAGGCAACTTTGTACTGCATGACTCAAATTCCACAAAGCTTCCACACACCTCCCATACTGCAGAAAACACCTAAACAAACTTCCATACCGCAAAACTGCTTTCGTATCCCACAGGCAAATCTCACAAGGTGCAAGACGCAGGAGCAAACGGCTTCCTTGCAACAGACAGCCTCAAAGAGGCTTTGTTTGACGGGCCATTGGGCCAAATTCCAGCTCCAGGATGCGACACGAAGCTGGGTTGTGAATGATGGCTTAGCTGTGGGAGAGCGGCCATTGCAAAACCGTGAGATACCGTGCAGTACATTACTCATGCGGCATGTGCTGTAATTGTCGTGGGTGGGTGGACGTATGCGATTGGCGATTAGCAAGCCGCAAAGTATCTTGCTGATCTTTACCGAGGGGAGGCCGTCAATGAAAAGCATCAACAAACTCAGCGAACGTTTCTTGGGCCTTGCATTCAATCCGTGAAGTGTGCCAGGTTGTTGGGGAACACCTTTTGGTCAGGGTTGGCTGGAAGGGAAACGCGTTTCTCGTGCTTTTTGGGGCGGGCCCCCATCCACTTTGGGATTCCGCTTTTTCCCTCCCTTGCCTCCCAAGTGGCACAAAGACGCCAAAGTCGACTTGCCCAACTTGAGCCGAGATGAGTTGAGCCCGGGCCAGCGGCGCGATGGAGCTGCACGGTGAAGCTGAAGGAACACCAACTTCCCACCCTTTTTGAAGCGAAGGAAGCCGGACGAAAGGCAGCCGATTTCCGGCCCTTGCGCTTCTGTCCGTGCATGCCCCGGAATAATGGGACGGAACCCATGCCCAAGCCAGGGAAGAGACCCACACTGATGATTGAGGCCTCAGACGCGAAAGCGCACAATCTTTGATGGTGACTGGCACCATTACCCGATGAACTTGCGTGTGAGTGTAAAAGGTCGAAAATATGGTGTGGTTGCACCGCCGACTGCATGAGCCAAGGGAGTCATGTGCTTTGGTGCGGGCGTCTCACTCAGGCTTGGGGTTACAACCCCGGATTGGCTGACATGGCGCCGTGTCGTTTACATTTTTCGGCCATCAATCCACATTGCTGAATGCCGACACTGCGAACGGACTCTCGGGGCCCCTAGAAGGGCTTTGCAACAGGGCTGGGCCAAAAAACAACATAATGCGAGCAAACAAGGTGGGCCTGAGAAAAAACAACAAAAGTCCACAGAGTGGACCCAGACAGTCACTTGCTGTGTTTGAAAGGCACCGTTTAAGCCTGAGAAGAGGTATGCCTGGCGCCTGTTTCTCGCAGTGAAGGCCAGACTTTTGGTTTGGGTCTGGCTCAAGCTCCGACCTGCGTTGCGTAATGGACAGCACGTTGCTCCAACGATCAGTTGTGCGCCACATGCAAATTTATGGAACTTGGGACCCGTGAACGACATACTTTTTCAAGGGAGTTCAAACACAATGACTTGGGAGTAGCGGCACGAAACACAATAGACATTACATCAATTCATACAAGCATACGTTACATTACATTACAGTACATTACGCTACATCGCAGTACATCACATAAATTGAACCTGAAGACGAGCAGCCATCTCTTCATCTCCCTTCACCTTTCCCTACCGCCTTCCGGCTCTCGCACACAGGGCCGAAGGCATGAGGTGAGAGTGTGTGAGAGAAAGGAGCCAATTGGCGAGTCTTGAACACCAAAAATACTGCCATGAAGAACGAAGTGATGAATAATGGCTTTTGGAACCGTCTGGAAATAAATAGTCTGTGGAAAGAAGAAAGACAGATCCAGACGGTTAAAGGGATGATGGTCTGATGGTTCACTTTCTATTTACTATCTCTCAATTACCTTTCTGTCAGCCATCCATCCATCCATCCATCATATACAAGATAAACACAGACACACATACCTACATGCATGCATGAATGCATGCATACATACATTACATTACACTAAATTACAATACACTACATTACATGACATTACATTGGACTACATTACATTACATTACATTCATGTATTACATACAATACATGCGTTACATAGAGTACATACATTACTTACATGCTTACCTACATACATAGATATATAATACATACCTACCTACCTTCCTACATACATACATACATACATACACACATACATACATAAGGAAACACTTGCGGGAGAGGAACTGATGATGCTGAGGATGCGGGGAGCCAAGGCCATATAAAGCAACCAAAAAAACGCAAAAAAAAACACCGAAAAGCCACAAAAGCCAGAATGCCACCTGCCGGAGAAGAAATGGTGATGCGGGAGCCAAAAAACAACCACCAAAAGCCCAGATTCAATAGAACATGTTCCAGAAATAATATACAGAAACCAATGTCCCCAGCCCTGCGTTTTTGGGGCCAAAACTCACAAAACCTCGGGACAAATTCACCCAACGCTGCCCACATATGATGGAAATGATTTAATATGACGGCGCGGGGAGCCAAACTCAAAAAACCTCGAGAAAACCAAGAAACAAAAAACAAAGAAACCAAAAAAAACAGATATGAGGGAAATGTGTTGGCATGACGGGCCCGCCTTGCCAAAAGTAGTTGTCTGGAGGTTTGGTTGTATTGTTTGTTTTCTCGAGTTTTTGATACTTTGCCACAAATGCTTGACTGCAGATCATAGAAGCAGTCTGAGAGCACACTGCGCACATATGTGTTTGCCAAGTGCCTAGGGAATCTAACGGTGCCTCACTCTGCTCTCGAAGCAGCTGGGCGCTTGCGGGTAGTAGCCGTGGTGCGCTGCGTATTATACTTGGGCATGTCCTTCAGGTTCTTATTCCAGAAGAAGATGGCCTCCTGCACCCAAAAGCGGTGGCTGTGCGCATTCATGCCATTGAAGATGCTCATGAAGTTCTTGCGCCTGATCCACAAGTTGAACACTTTATTCATGCTGGTCCTCACCCGGAGGGTCAAATGCTTCTTGCATTTGTGGTTGCTCCTGTGGAACTCATCGACCACGCAATACTTGATCTTCTCGAAGGACTTGGTCAAGTTCTTGCGCCGGGCCACATACTGCTGGAAGTCGCACACATCGTCATGGATGAGGGCGTCCACGTTCGCCCCTTCTTGAGTGACAAAGCTGCGTCGACCACGTCTGTCTTGCCCTGGCAACACTCGTTGACTATGCTCCTTGGCTGCCAACATTCTTCGGGAGTCTGGGCCGATGACGAACTGCCAGCCCGCGGTGCGGTTCTTGCATGGCACTCGCTGCTTGGACTTGTCGGCGCACGCGCAAGTCCTTTTGCTCCTTCAAGTACCTCGACAGGGGCCGGCCCTTCCTTGGCACGGTCCTTGCTCCTCATACTGTGGGTGGAGCCGCCGATGTAGCCGAAGTGTCCATCAAAGCTAAGGACCTTGACAGGAACAGGGGTAGGAAAGAGGAACGGTTCCTTGGTCAGGGCAAGGTGCTCCGAGGGACGATATAGGCTGAAGTGCACAACTGCGTCAGGAGTTCTCTGCGCCAAAGCATACCCGTCTAGCGCTCGCTGGTAGAGTTGAAAGTTGGTGGGCGTGATTGCCCGAGGATCATCTTCAGACAACAACGTCCGAACGCTCGCCTCCTGGCCAGGGGGAAGAATGCCAAGCAGAAGCCGCAGCATGGACACCTCCAAGTACTTGGTCGTAAAGCCAAAGTGGTTGTTCACGAGATACATTCCCATGTCCCGCAGCTGGTTGAAACTTGAGGCGTTCACCTTGGCCCCATAAACAGTGCCTTGCGAATCTTGGCCTTGTTTCGAATCTCCTGCTTGTTCTCCCGCCGCTTCTCAACGACCGCCTTGACCCAATCCTGCTCCTTGCGCACGTCCTGCTCGAACTCAAGGAAGCCGTCCTTGTCCTCAGCCTTGAACATGCCGTAGGCCTTCTCAGTGAGGCACTCATCGTTGGGAAGAGAGAGATCCGCTTCACCAAGTTTTCGTTGATGCCGGCCATCCGGAAGTACACGTGCTCTTTTGTATTGACCAGGAAACTCGCCCGCTTGAACACTTCTCGGACACTTTGCCAACAAAGGCCGCCGGCAGCTCCACGTCGGGGTCGTACATGTTGTCCGCCACTGCGCGGGGTTCGTTTTGAACCCACTTTGATGCACCCCATCGCGCCCAGAACATGCACTCATACAAACCCACGTCCAGGAACGCCTTGACGGTCTTCATGCTGAGGGCGTTGAGGTTAGTGTCGTCGAGAAAGCCACCCATGACAACCAAGCCTGGCTCCCCCTCAGGAAGTCGATTTCCGGGGTGCTCGACTTTGAAGTGATCCTTGTTGTGACGGCACTGGGCCATCAGAATGCTGCGCCCAAGGGGGCTCTTGCCCATGCCGACCTTGCCGAGCATAATCAAGGAGGAGGTGTCGAAGTTCGAGCACCTTGAGCACCCAGGCGTTGTAGTACCGCGGGGTAGATTGCTACTTGAACTCCTTCCGCGCCAGCCACCCGTAGATCGGGGAGTTGGGCTTCCGGAGTGTCTTTGTCTGCCATCGAAGCTGAGCATTCTCACTGGAAGACCTTGGGCCATTCCATCGATCTCTTCGTCCTCCTTGTCCTCAAACCTGATGCAGGACTTGGACTTCTGCAAGAAAGGTTTTTTTGAGCTGGAGCTGCCGAATTGCACTTTGCATACTCCAATGTGACTTTAAGTGCACTTCGCGCACGCCAATGTGACGGTCACACAACTCGCAACTCCTAACCAACGTTGAGCTTAACTTCTGCTTGGTTAGAATTTGCATGGAGTTGAGCGTCCAGTCAGTTCATTTCAGAGTCTCAAGGCATTTGTCACCCCCAGTCTGGCCAACAAAACCTCAGTTCTGGCCAAAAACCGGAGTATTTCAAGGGGGGTAGCATATAATATTTATATTATATACATATATATATATATATATGCACAAAAAAAAACAATGGAAGAAGAAGGAGGGGTACCCTGAACGCACGCAGCTGGCGGGCCTTTTCCCTGACCTTCGCTCCAGTCAATCGCGTGGAGTCTCAGGGCTCCATGTCGGCCATCTCTTGAGCGTCGGGGCCGTATCCTGACGTGGGGAGTTCCATGCCAGGTTAAAAGACGCGGCGCTTCGTTTTGGAAGCCGAAAAAATAGGAAAACATGGAGGGGACGCAACCTAAGAAGGGAAGCAACCTAAGAATTGATGGGATTTTGCGGGCAAGCCTGAAAAAAAAGTGGGAGGGAAAAAAGGGAGGCAATTTGCTGGCACCCTTTTGTGGCTGATTGTAAAGAGACACCCGTCCCAACGAAAGTTGAAAAAAGGCAATGCACCACTGGGTGTCGGGGATTACCCTCTTCAAAAATCATGGAAATGGACGCCGTCGTGTTCCGGAAGACGTCCTCTTGCAAGGGGCTACTTCCGTGATTCTCAAGAAAGCCTAGGGCGTTACTTTCATTGGAACTGGGTGGGGACATGTGCTGCAGTCACACCCCCAATCCAAGGGTTTGCGAGTTTGTTTCTTAAAGCCACTTACCCCTTAAAACTCCAAGCTCTGGGGAAGTTAATCTTTTACAGACATATAGCCCATGTTACCCCCAAAAAGTTGAAAAGCTGTGCTTTTTAAGAGGTAAGGTTTGTTTCTTAAAGCCTAAAACGGTACCAACGAATATGCATCTGGCCCCTACACATCACCCCGAAATGTGAAAGTCAAGCACTGGAGGCCTAAAGGACCTGGGGATGAACAATGAATACCTTGTGGACCCGTGCAAAACACACCAAGGTGGAAAGCAAAGGTCAGGTCGGCTTGCGGGCTGAGAGGTGTTGTGGCAAGCTGCAGGAGTTGCACTGGGTCCCCCTGCTGAGCTTGGTTCAAAGGAAAGCCAAAGGGAAACCACCTTGAAACCAACAAAATGGCCGAGCTGTGGCCCGGCAAAACATTCCAGGCAAAAGTGAGCCTTTTGAAAAAAGACGTGGCGACGGCGATACTCCCAACATGATTCGTACTGGAAGCGGGCAAACTTAAAAAAACAAAGCAATCCCACTCAAAAAGCGGTGCCCATGGTTTTGCCAAGTGAGTGCTTTTGTTGGGCGCTGTTGAGTGAAGGAACCCCCAAAAGCAAGCCGATCTTGTCCCCAAATTTGAGGGTTGATGACTTGGAGTAGCCATATATTCAGCTGCTACTGGGTCCATCTGAGCTGGGTCCGACTTTCTGGGTCCAAAGCTGGTTCATCTGAGCTGGGCCCGACTTTCTGGGTCCAAGGCTGGTCCGTTTGAAACCAAGACCATGCATTTCGCGGAGGGTCTTCTATATCCAAGCGGCGATTGTGCTCCGCTGTGCCATACGCCGGCGCCGGGGTAGCCTCCTCCTCCTCTTCTGAGCTGAGCACCCCTACGAAAAGGGGGCAACAACAATAACAAACAGAAACGGGACCCTTTTGGATGGTTTCTAGGTCCGCCAGTAGAGAGGTTAGAATAAGTTGGTACCCATTTTTGTTTTCGGTTTTGTCTATTTTAGTAGGGGAACCCTCCCCCAAAAAAGCTGGCAAAAGGGCACTACTGGGGGAGCTGGAACAAAAACGGGACCCTTTTTGATGGTTTGAAAAGGGACACCAAACGGAGTTCCCACCTACCTGGAAGGTCCCCATGATTCTATGACGATTCTGGCTGAAACTGGCTTCAGGGTCCCCAACCCTATCTCTTGAGGCACATGACATTCTTCTCCTTGTGCCAACAAGCGAAGTTGCGTGGGGAAGGAAATGGTGCTTTCTTCAAGGTACAGCTCCTTCCGCACGTTGCTCTGGGGGCTGGGGATCCTTCCAAGTGGAGATGGACAGGTTTTTGGGCCAACTCGCGTTGCTCACTGCCAGAGTGGATTGGTCACAGAAACCCAAGAACTCGGCAGGGAACCATAGAGCACAACGCCCGAACAGGCGGTGTTCCTGAGATGTCCCCAAGTTTCGACGCAGAATTGAAGAACGACATTGCCATTTTGCACGTTCAGGCATTCCTTCAATGCGGAGGAAGAACTTACGAGTGGATTGAACTAGCTCGCACTCTTTCTCTCTCTCTCTCTATCTCACACTATTTCGCTTTCTCTCGTTCTCTCGTTTTCTCTCGCTCTGTCTCTCTCTCTCTCTCTCTCTCTGTGAATATGCGTGATCTTTGAAACCTAGCTGCGCTGCGTGAAAAACCAGCGCGAGAGTTGGGGAATCGAAGCGGGGCCGATGCCAGAGGGAGGCGGGCGCGGAGGCGGGCGCGGAGCGGCGGAGTGGGCTTGTTTAGACCAGCTCCCTTTGGCTTACCTTTCAAGGTGGGCCTAAGTGATGCCACATTTTTTGCTAGGCCCTCCTGTAGAGAGGCTAGAAGAAGGGTACCCCTTATTCTTCTGCAGTCGATTTTAGTAGGGGAACCCTCCAACCTAGTTTGCCACCCACCCTAGATCTCACTCTGGATGGACAGGGGCGGATGACCAGCGTGAGGTCTAGGGGCGGCATCACCCTATGGATCTGGGTTGATTCACACACATCAAGCGCACTCAACTGAGGTTTTATCTCTCAAGGGCTGAAATGACCAAAACAAGGTACCCACGAACAAGGCACGGCGGCAAGCGCGCCCCTTTTCGTGCGGCCATGGGGCCAGAAGCGCGCCCCATTTCGTTTGATGTCAAAGGAACTTCTATGAAACAAAGGAGACAAGCGCACTGCTGGGGCGGGGCAGATCTATCGGAGTCAGAAGCACTGCTGTCCTCGTGCATCATGTGCTGCGGTAGCAGTGGCTGGCCCTCCTCATTCTCCGGCAGTCGGGGGTCCTGACGAACCCGGGCGGCCAAACCCGGTTTAAAGTTGCTTTGACGCGGAAAACCAAAAGAAACCCGTGGGTCCCCATTGGAAACCAGGCGGAAACCCAGGAAGGGAAACCCAAGCAAAAACCCAAGGGAAACCCAGAAAACCCGGGAGAACCCAGGAGAACCCATAGGGAAACCCATAACAAACAAGACTTGGTTGACGTTGGAAGGGGAGCAAAAATTTAAATTTTAGCAGTTAAGTGGGGATTTCCCACTAAACCACAAGAAGCAAAAATGTAAAATGTTTCCCAACAACAACCATGAAAAAGTACAAAAAGGAAAACCCAAGACACACACCAGAAGCCCACTAGAGGCCCACTAGCCCACTAGAAACCGGTGAAACTTCTTGATTTGGAACGGGCCCAGAGCGACCGCGCTATTTGGCACAGGGGAACCCGGAGAAAAAAACACAGGACACCCGGGAAACCCGGCAAGCACCAGGGGAGACCAGGCAAAACCAGCTGAGGAAACCCGTGGGGAAACCCTGCAAAAACAAGACACTCAGGGGAAACCCGTGGGGAAACCCTGCAAAAAATAGGGGAACTTCAGGAACCTAGAACAAAACAACTCAGGAAGAAGCAAGACACCCAGAGGAAACCCGAAACAAACAAAACAAACACAGAAAAAGGCAGACGGAACTCAGGGGAAACCCTGTTGAAACCCAGCATAAAAGACGGAAACACCCGCCAGAAAAAGGCGCCCAGTGAAGCCCTACGGGAAGTTCGCAATCCGAACTCAGCAAACTCAACAGAAACAGAGAGGAAAACACCTGGAAAAAGGCTCAGAAAACCCGGTTGCACCCAGTTGAAGCCCAAGCAAAGGAGAGAAAAAACCAAGAAACCCCGTGGGAAGTTCGGAGCTTTCAGGGGGAGACCGGGTCCTTGACCTGGAAGGCATCCCATCGTCCAGAGGTGCCGTGACGCTCGTGCCCGAAGTCGATGGGGTACGAGGGGTTGCACTGCACCCTGGGTCGGATGGTTTGTGCCCCCAAGGGCCAAACAAACAAGGGGCAAGGTCAAGATGTTACTCTTATTCCCATATTGTTTACGGATATTCTTAAATTATTTCCGGGTATTACCGGTATTTACGGGTATTTATGGGAACTGGATTAATTGGATCTTCCCGGATTTCACGGAGATTTTCACCAGGGCCCCACCAAGCGTCGGAGCCGTTTTTGCTCCCGTCGGCCCCAAAGGGAACCAGATTGTCTTGCTCCTCCAGTAGAGAGGTTGCAAGAAGGGTACCAACTTTTTTCTGTAGTCTATTTTAGCTGGGCAACCCTCCCAACCAAACAAGTTCGTAAAAGGGCACTGGGGGACCTAGTTGTGGCCCTCCCTCTTGCCTTGAGTTGACCGAAAGGAAGCCAGTGGCACGGGTGCCCAAGGATCGCCGAGCAGTTGGCTTGACAAGTCAACTTGGTGGCTTCATCAAAACTGGGCTCGGTTTTGCCTTAGGCGCCAGAGAAAAAAAGAAGAAACAAAGCCACCAAAGGAGCACAAGTACACACCCAGGTTCACCCAGTGACCCACCCCAAACCAAAGGTTGCGGAAGAGGAGACCTCCCGATTGCCTGCGCTAAGGTTCGCACGCGCTCCCTTTTACCCGCCCAGCAAACCTCCAGCCATTTGCGTCTTGGGAAGCGGCGGTTTACGCGCCCTTCAAGTTACATGGCTCTGAAACCGTAGCTTCATGCTCGCGTTGGGATATTTTTGTTCTGAATGCCTCACTTGTAAGCGGATGGTGCCAAAGAGCGGGTCTGGAGCACATATGAAATGATCAGACTCCCATTTCAGTTTCCCCAGGGAACAATTCACAATCATTGATATTCAGCAGCCCAGCAGCGCACATGCGTGTCAAACATCTCAAAGGGAACACTGACCAAAGGAACACCTAGGAAGATTCACGCGTAGCATCTGCGCATTGGGGGAGACAGGTCCAGGATGCTCCTCGCTAGGGGATCACATCCAAAACTGGGTTTGTTTCATTGACAGGTTCTTCACCCCTGCCATTTGCTTCCGCCCCCTGGAAACCAAGAAAAACTAATTCCAGTGGCGATAGATTCCCTTTAAAACCAACAGGGGAACATGAAAAAAGAAAGTATTCTTAAGTAAATGGAAGTCAACCGGTGTCCTACTTTGCGGCGACTTTTGACATCACAAGTCATAAAGCCAGGCAGCTGCTTCCAGTAGGTGTAGGCATGGTAGGTGCCTCCGAACCCGGCGCAGGGCAAGACATTGAATCCGGGGGTTGGGGGTTTGGGTGTTCCATTTCTGGGCTGCCCGTTTTCCAATCCCCCGCGAAAAGTGACCAACTTTTTGTGGGTTAAATGGAAACTACCACTATAACCACTAAAAAGGAAAAAAAGCTAAGGGGATGGCTGGGAGCCACCAAGATTGAAGAGGGGATCCGGATCACTTCGAGGACACGCATTATGGGTCGACTGTTTGCTCACTCGCTTTGCCAAAAAAGCTGGTGCAGCAAAGGACCCCCGGCCGGCTTGCCAAACGGTCAATGGGGGAAAACAAACACAGCCCCAGCTTTTACGCCCGTATTTTTGATTTGGGCCACCGTTTTGTGATCCTTGCGTGTGACATCATGTCGAAAGAGATTCCCAGAAAAGAGGGAAATGGCTGTGGCTCAAATAAATGTACCAAAATGGCACCTTGGTAAATGGAACCAAAAACTAAAACCTGCGTAACCCTAGGTCTTTAATTTTGAGCCACTCTCAAATGGCAAATGGTTGGCTTTGGCCAAGTGAGCATCACAAATGGCTGCACAGTCTCAGCGTCTCAAGGTGCCCAGCCCCGAAATAACTGACACCTTTCCCAGTCAGAACGATTCCATGTTGCAACTAGCTGGAGTTTACCCATGGATACTCTGAGGGTATGAGGTCAGCCCCTGACAAAAGGACACACACAACACAAACAAAAACAGGTTCGTCCCAATATACCCTTCACCAAGCGGGGAACCCCAGATTTCACTCCCTCAAACACCCTTCCCCTCACTGCAGCTGCGGCACAATAGGCCCAGAACCTCAAGAGCCGATTCTGGATACGGCCGACTTGCAGGTTTAGACCACCTTCTTTTTCCCCTGGCCGCTGGGCATCTGAGGAGAAATGGAATGAACCAAGGGGAGGCTGATAGGGTCCCGTTCCTTGATATGTGATTTCTTTGCTGGTGCGATAGGCAGCAAATGAGAAGTGGAATGGCCCCGATTCAAACCATCCTATGGTGTTCTGTGAGGGAATGCCCCGGTCCATTCCATTTCTCATTCCCTACCTATCGCACCAGGAGAGAATGCGGATAAACTGGTAAAAGTGAGATCTGGATGCCATCCCAGGATCTCAATTGGGTCCCTGGAATGTTCAAAGTCAAAAAAGCCCACGGGGACTTGCGGGAACTTGTAATATACTAAAGTAGAAATGGGCCCCAAAATCCTCCATTGTTTGGACGTCCCAAAAGTGAGCCTACTTTTTTCCAGCGCCTCCATTGTTGAGGGGGGGGGGGGCCTGTATTAATCAAGTGCAAAACATTACTATCGTAAGTTGCACCGTGCGACCTTGAACTGCAAACACAACGAAATGCCCTAAACGGAGCAAATTGTTTAGTTGTCGCACCAGAGAACTTGAAAATGGTCGGTTTCTCTTTGGTTGCCGGTTCAATTGACCCCTCAAAGGGTGTCCTCAAAAACGGAGACGCAACGAATTGGCAAAAGTTGGACTGGACCAAACTTGGTCGACTCTTTTGGCGGGCGCTAGTGGACAACAGGATGAAGTCAGCAGAGACAAACAATTTTGGTTTGGATTTGATCATGATTCCTACCTTGGCCTTTGCCCAACTGAAATCAACATCCTGGATCATATACTCTACTGTGTGGACAAGTTTGCTGTGTCTGAGCAGGGCGTTCATGGGTATGTCTCAAACTAGGGATTTGGACCAAACAAAGCTGGCCCACAATTGGGCTACACCGAAAATACGATCTTCTCACTCTGCTCCACAGTCCACCCTCAAATTCACACATGTTTGGAGAAGACTCCAGTAAAATGGTTCCCCTTTTGGCTTCCCTTTGAACCCTCATGCCGGTTGAGCATGCATCTCTCAGGCCCGAAACAAGGCATCAAAGCATCAAGGTGGCCGCTGCAGCCCAAACAGCAAACAGCTCCTACGCTCAAGCTTTCCTAGACTGGAGCAAGCTCACAGCCAAGCTTCCCTAACATGATCTTAGCCCATACTTGAGGCTAGTTGGAGGGTGGAACACCCAAAGGTCGATTTGCATTCGCAAATCCGAATCCCAGGAATTCCCCTGGAGGGGGGGTCCATGCTCCATGCCAGTCAACCTTGGGAGGGTTCACCACCTACATGCTGAACGTGCGGTATAGGGGCTATGCAGGGATATATGGCTGCGTCTGCCTGTGGGGGGTGGCAAAGAGGAGCCAACGGGAAAGCAACGAGACTTTTTTTGGTTTTTGAGACAAACCTCAGTTCTGGGCTGCCCGACTTCTGATCCTCGATCGCTAAAAGTGACTCTCTTTTGTTGTGTGGGTTAAATACGGAAACTACCACTAAACACCAAAAGGCTAAAAAGCTAAGGATCCGGACGGCTGGGGGCCACCAAGAGTTGGGACATGCACATCAGTCGTTTCAGGCTGAAGGCTCTCTTTTTGTCCTCTTCGGCCCTCGTAGCATGGAAATCACACCCCTAAGGTCCGTCATTTTTTCCGCCACACGCCGCTCGGCTTCCCCTGAACTGGTGGTTTGGTTTGGTTTGGAGATTTTAACCCCGTTCTGGTGGAGGAGCAATCAGAACTACCAATTTGGGGCAAGCTGAGTACCAGCGCAAGATCTGAGGGAAATTCTGTCTTTGGGACCTCTGCAATCAGGTTATTCCTGGGGAATATCGGCCAGTTGCCACGTGCGTGCCACAGGGATCAAAGATGCACGGCAACTCCCGCCTCATCAAACTGCACATAGGCCTGAATTACGGAACCCCCAAGCAGGGGTATAAGATCGCTTCACCCCCCGGTGAGCTCACTATGATGCAGAGACACGGGTCAGCGACCTGTCGGGAACATCATCTAGAAAGCGTGCCAAATTCATATCTATGTATGCAAGCATGCTTGGGGTTCCCTCAAAGGAACGCCCGAGCTTCAATTAGTGCAAGCAAAAAAAACTCGGGGATCTCCGCTTCCGGACCAACCTTCGGCCATCTCAGAACATGTAGCTTGCCGGGAGAACAAGCTTGCTCAAGCGCCCTGCTCTTCCGCCTTCCAGGGGAAGAACTGGAGGATTTGCCAGGCAACATGAGAGGCCAGGACTCCCGTCATGTTTTTATTTCTTCTTATTCTTTTATTATTATGATTAAACACACATGAACAAGATGGCTCAAGGACCAAAGCAACGTGCGCAAGTTGTTTGTTTTTGTCGCCAGATTTTCCAGGGGTTGCTAGTGACCATGAGATGAAAAGGGGGCACTCGCTTGGAGCTGATTTTGAAGGGAAACCCTCAAAAGGGGAAAACCAACTGGGGGTCTGGGATTTGGCTTTCAAAACAGGACCCAAAAAAGATGTTCCTTGTTTCCCTTACCCCAACAAAGGGCACCCCAAGAAAACACAAAATCCCTTGAGGACCTGCAAAGAATAAGCTGGTGAGTTACCTTGACTGCACCAAACCAGGGGAAATGGGAAAGCCGAACACCTGGACCCTCAAACTCGTAATGTCCAAAACATCGCAGAACTGATTTTTGTTGGCCGTTGGCTCTAGCCATCTGCGAGAGGTCTGGCAAAAAGATGTTTTGGATATCGCTCCCCCATGCACACTCATGACTTGTTTCTGGCTTTTCATTTTACTCCACAACCCCGTCACAACCCCGCTCCACTTATTTAGGACCTTTCAGCACTAATTATTCGGTGGTTAAGTGTGGTTTGAGGGTAAGGTGGTTTCAGGTTGGCTCGCTTTGCAGAATCCATAAGAAAAGGAGACCGTTGACAGTTCGGATATGGGTCTGCCTTGAAATGGGGGACCGACTGGGGCACAAAGCGAGCCCAACAAAAGACACCCTCAAAGGATTCCCCCTTTTGAAACCAGCCCAAACCCCAACTTTGCGATGGCTTGGGTTGAACCTCTTTCTTGCAATTTCAACAAGAGCCCCAGTAGGCATGTGAAAAAATGGTGCACCTTTGTTTCCTAGTTAAAGGGAAACACAAGGATTTGCACAAGGATTTGCACCCACCGAAATTATTGTTCAGAAGTCCTTCTCACTTCCTGAGTGGATTGGCCAACTAAAGCCCAATCTGCTTAAACATCCCACTCAAATGGTCCAGCCCTCAAAAGTTTTAAGCAAAAAACAAAGAGTCCCAGAAACATCCCAGAATGTGAGCCTGTGGCCCCTTCAAACGCCCAAAGGGAGACCAATGTCAAACATGGCCACCTGATCTGTGCCTTCGAAAAACACAAAAGACCCCTGCTGCTTGTCCAGCGGGTTCCACTTTGTTGCTGGCGGAGCAGGGATCCGGATGCAGTAGAAACACCGATCGAACATTGCAACTTGTAAATGGTGGTGTCCATTTATTTGGGTGGAAAAAACAACATGTTTCAAATGGTTGCAAAATGTATCTTGTAAGGAGCCCTGTCCAGTCTTATCACTGTCAAGAAAATGCCATTACTACAGCAAGTGGCAAGCGAATTGAAGCCCCATCTTCAACCAGCCCCGGGTCCCTGGGGGCGAAAACGACTCGGCACCATTTGTGTGGCCCGACGTTGTGACCGGGGAAACCTCCTCCTCCTGGAAAAGAGGAAACACATCTCCATTTATGCTTAAGACCTCTGGAAAAAAATATATGTCCAGTATAGTGATAGATTCGTTTTAAAACCAACAGGGGAAAGAAAACATATTCTTAACCAAATGAAAGACATGGCAGCAACCCACGCGTTTGCCCCCGGCGGCCGACAGCCCCCTTGCCTGCCTTGAGGGATTCCCTCGCCCACTGCAGCGCTTGAAAAAGCCGATTCTCTCGCCGGGATCGTCGTTGGTCCACCAACGACTGCAGAGAAGGCCCTCTCGAGGGCCGATCCAACTCCTATGCATTGAGATTCTGCATGACACGCCTTGCTAAACAACAAAAAACACCTGCGCTTTTGTGGTTATGCGTGCGCGTGTGCGTGTGTCTGTGTTGTGTTTTTTCTCGTTTTTGGTTAAAGTTACTTGTGAAGGCTTGTTTGTTTGAACACCGCCTTCTGTAGGGGCTGACCTATCTGGACCTTCAAACTACCCGACAAGCGTGCTACATCACCCCGTCATGTTGGGGCGATATGCAATTTGTAAGGTTAGTTTGAGTGGCCGTGCTGCCAGAAGGTTGGAAACCCCAACTTGCGCAAATTCTATTTAACTCCAGGAATTGGCCTTTCTCTTTTTCACATCCTTTGTGGTTGAGCGTATCGGGATCATTTAAGCAGTATGCTTTTCGTTGGCGTGCCCCGACTCAAGGGCTGCTGTGGGCCCGTACAACGAATGCCAAGCGGTTCATACCCGGCGGTTTGACACAGCATCGTACATGCCCGATATGTCCTGTTTGGTGTTGTTCTACACAGGGCAACAGAAGAACAAACACGTCCAAATAACGGCCCATGCAGCTCCCTGCACGTCTGCGGGAACAACCCAAAACTTGTGACACCAAAGCGGGCTATCCCTGCGACCACTTTGTGACTTCAACAAGGATTCCCTTGGTATCACAGAACTGGCAACCCTAATCCCAGTCCCCCCAACCATCCTGAAACAAGGGATCCCCAATCCATCAATCTACATTCCGCTCGTTTTGGCAGGCCCAGGCCTCTTTGGAGTCCGCATCTTCTGACCCGCTTGGCCGCGCGGAGCCCGCGGGCCGCGGGTGGGGCTGGCCGGCGACCATGGCTCGCGAGCGCGCTGACGAGCCAACACCGGAGCCCAAAACAGGCCCTCGGGAAGACGATGAGCGTCCTTGGATTCAGACAATTTTCTGGACAAATTATAATAATTTCTACCTCGTACCTCGAATTATTTCGGAAACCACCTCGTAATTCGGGGTTTGGGGCTCGCCTCAGGCCAGTGAGCTCGCTATAATTTGTCTTCCTTCCCCCAAATGGGTGTGGCTCAAAAGTTCAAGACCTAGGTTACGCAGGTTTTAGTCTACGTTTCCATTTACCAGGGCAAGCCATTTTGGGGTTACCCTAATTTTGAGCCACAGCAAAATGATCATTGGTCACCTTTTTGATCAACCCCCACATGACACGTGAGAGGTCAAACCAGAAATTTTTGGACCCGAAATTATGAATGCCAACCTCAGTTACCCATTTCAAAATTCAACCTGAAAGAGCTACCGCCACCTCTACGGGCTTTCGGTCTTTAACGGCCACTCGCGACCCCCCCGATAAGATGCCCAGTGGATTTCCAGGATGGGAAAAACACATCGGCCTCCTTGGTCTTTGTTTTTTTCAGGAATTGGAACGCGAAACCCCAAAAAGGTTGAACAAGTAGTTTGAAGGAAAAAAAGAGAAGCGAACCCTTCCCCAAAATTTATTGAACACAAAAACAAACACACGCCCCTGGCCAAGGATGTGGCACCCCCCCTAAAACCCCCCCCCCAAAAAAAAAAACAAAGATGAAGAAGAAGAAGAAACAAAACGCTGAGCGCATCACGCCAGCAGCATCGCCGCGCCCACCGTGTAGGCCAGCCGCGCCCAAGGGCAAACCCCAGACTGGCAGACGAAGGATTCGACGACTCGAACGCCCCGAAATCTGGGATTTCGCGACCCCTCTGAAGGCACCAACGGCCCAAACTGTCCGGTTCACGCCAAGTGGATGTGGGTCAAAAATGGGTACCCCAAATGGAACCCTGGTAAATGGAACCAAGGACTCAAACCTGCGGTCCCCTGGTGGTTAATTGTTGACCCATGGCCCATACCCAAGTCATTTTTCACCCAGAAAAGGGGCCCCTGGAAGAAAAAATCCCACTTTGGGAGCTTCGCTGTGGGTAGGAACAAATACATTCTGGGTTTAGCACTCCGGCAAAACTTGCTGGTGCAATAGGTAGGGAATGAGAAATGGAATGACCCCTATGAACCATCCAACTGGTGGTTTCCTTTCAGGGGATTTTCAGGTTTATTTTCTCATTCCCTACTGAGCATCAGCAATTCTTAGTTTCTCCTGAAATGCCAAGGCAGGTTGACTTGCACTTGACTATCTCCTGGTTTTCCCCGAAATGCCAGGACATGGCATTCTTTCAGGACGGGTTGACTTGGACATGATTCTGCCAGGCTCACTTCATGAGTGCATGGCCAACAAAAAGAAGTAGTCTGAACTTGGTGTTTTAAAATAGTCCAAACCCCAAACAAACAAAAACTGGGCTGTCCTCAGATCCCCCGCTAAAAGTGACTAACTTTTACTGGGTTAAATGGAAACGACCACTAAACACTAAAACGCTAAAAGGCCAAGGAACCGGATGGCTGGGAGCCACCAAGTCAAGTGATGCGTAGCCGTACGATGAATTCCCCATGTCAAGCCAACCAATTTCACGTCCAACCAACCAAGGTAACTTTAGGCAGGTTTACAGAGCTTCCTAAAGCCCCCAAACCCTCAAAACCATTAAAAAAAAGAAGAAGAAAAACAAAGAGAGAAACAAACATGAAACCCCCAAACCCCTATCACCCTAAACCCTAACCTCTCTTGTTTCCCTGGGAAAACGGGGTGCCCTCGCTCTCATGTCCATCAATCTTCCCAGCAGTGGCCATGGAATCTATTGCGAACAAAACATAGAAAGCCTCGCCGAACTGAAAAAGTCCAAACAACAAGTCCATCCATTTTTCGGAAGCCGCCTCCAGACCAATATTTTGGTTTAAGGCCTCGCAACCCACTGGAGGTCGAACACGGTCTGCGTGTGGCGAATCTCCGGTAAAATGTTCAAAAAGAGTATACTAAAAAGGTCACGGGGAAAAAAACAAACTGACGAACAGGGCGAAGAACCGGCAAAACCCACCAAATTGCGCACCTCCACACCGCCTTCTGCGGAGCCCACTCCGCTTTTTCGGCCGCCGCTTTTTCTTTCGACCGCCTTCCGCCCGCTCTCTCGAAGGCGCCTCCGCCAAGGCGGTGAGCTGCTCGTTGGGGTGCGTGAGGCGTTCGGTGGAGCTCAGCCAGCTGTCGCCTCCGCGGGGAGGTGACGAAAGAGCTCCGAAAGCCCCCCAAGCTGGGGCGGTGTTGGGGATTTTTTTGGATCACCGGGCCCCCGGTTTGAACGGGGGGTCCCAAGGGAAACCCAAGTTGGGTCGATCTTTTTGTGGCTCGGTGCCGTTGTTGGGGAAAACAAAAGAAGCCCGGATCGTATGGGACAAAGAGCGGTTTCACCGGCTTTGGGTTTTGGCCCAGCCGGTTTTTCTCGGTCGGTGGCCGGTTGAGCTGATCGGTTTCTACCAAAACGCCCCACTCCGGAGAAGAAGCGAGCGACAGGCCCCCGGAGTTCAGCCGAGGGCTCGAGCTCGCGACTTTTTTGCGGGCCCAGCCGGGGATTTGAGGCTTCCCATGGGGATCCGTTTTACTTTTCGGCCACTTGGAAGGCCTTGAGAAAGAAAAGCCAAAAGCAAGCACCGCCGTTTTGGGCGCTTTGCCCCCCCCAAAAAAAAATCGGCAAACACTGCGGAACCGCCAGTCGCAACCAGCCGACGGGATTAAAAAAAAAAAAAAAACAATTTCTGTCTGGTTGATTGATACGAGTGGCTTTGCAGACCCCTGATTCTGCCACCCTCCCCACCACTTGGGGGTCTCTTGGGGGTCCGGCTTTCTCACAGAACCTCAGCCTTTCCAAGAGGTTTATTCAGTCAACCTAATTACAGGCCTGCTCTCTTCCACCCAATCCGGGGAGGGAAGTATCAGGTTCTTTCACCAAAACCCACGGCCACGGCGCGAATAAGTGAGGTGCTGCCTTGCTGTGCTGCCCCTAAAAGCCATGCCACACAGCGTTTGGGTGGAACCTGAAAATCAAAAGGGTTACCATCATAGACACCACACCTGGTTCACGGGAAATACCAGAAGGGATATGCCAAGTGGCTTTCTTGGAGAAAATATTCGTACCCGCGAGTTTTGGGTACGCGTACTACCCCGGCTTTTCGGCCACCGGCCACTGCCGAGCGTACATTTGTGGGCGTTTGTATGCTGCTGAGTAGAGGTTCTGCCTGAGTGGCACTTGGATTGCCCTGCAGCACTTGGGCTTTGTGTGCTAAGCACGGCGTGGCAAAACAGGTCTCTTTGCTGTGTTTTGGCCTCTGGCCTCGGGGCCTTAGGGCCGCAGGCTGAAGGCCTTTTCAGCGGGAAGGTTTCAACGGGAAAACCCTGTGAAAATCAGCCAATCCGGGCCATTTCTTGAAGACCCACTGAAATGAGCCGGTCAAGCATTTACCACTATCCCACTGGTTGTTGAAACCTAGCGCCCGCCCCCTGCTGAAACCAACCGGAACATGGACACTTTGACCCCCACTCCCCCAAAATGAAAATATAAAGGAACAACAAAATGAAGTGACCCACCCCCCAACCAACCAACCAACACACTCACTCATCTTTCCTGCTAATGTTGACCCAGGATTAATAAACCCGTCCCATTATTTGGGGGGTGTTCCCTCCAAAAGTGATGAATCCCCACTAAAAGGGGACACCCCCCTATCAATCAATTGGGGGTTTATTCATCCGGGGTTCACAGCAAGCCAGTTGCCAGATGGCCATGGGTCAAAATCCAAATCGTACCCCCAGTGAACATCAACCAATCCAACCACTAAAAAAGGTTCTAAACTGGGTGGTGAATTCCCCAACCAACCAAAATGGTACCAAAAATAGACTAAAATGGGTGGTGAATTCACCTACCAACCAAAATGGGATCCCATTGGTTTTGACAACCACCTACCCCAGATTTTTTGCGCGCCGTGCGGTTTGGGTCTCCGTGCACTTGAAGAGCGTGGAGTAGTCTGCCGCGCAGGCAATGAAGAGGGCAAGGAACTTGAGGAAGAGGAAGTAGACCAGCCACTGGATCCACGCCCTGACGGAACCCCATGGCCGACATTCCCACAACCAGTAGAAGGTTCTTACCAACCTGTACTGGGCTGCCCGATTTCCGATCCCCCGCTAAAAGTGTCTCATTTTTAGTGGGTTAAATGAAAACTGCCACTAAACACGAGCAGGCTAAAAAGCCAAGGAACCGGATGGCTGGGAGCCACCAAGGTAAAAATGTGGATTCGCTTTGGTCATTCCCCTCCCAGATCCCTAACGGCCATGGCAACAAGTTGCCCCTTCTTTTGGTATTTGCTCAACTTCAAACAAAACGCCCGGTGAGAAAACCGGTAACTGCCCCAGCAAGTTACGCCGTAAGTAGCCTGAGTTCACTTATCTCGACCTCTGTGTAGGTAACTTAGATGTTCCCTAAGTAAGATTGAGGACCGAGGTGAAAATCCTGAGGACCGAGGTCAAAATCCTGAGGACCCAGGTGAAAATCCTGAGGTAAGTTCCACAAGTAGCCCCGAGCTATTGAGTGGGGTGGCTGACCTGACATTGAAGGTTTCGCTTCTCGAACTAGCTCTGAGGCTGCAGCGGTTTGTCATCGTGCGTGCCCAAGAGACCGATGAAGCCTGGCGCGCAAATCTGGTGTCCTACCAAGTTGGTTTGGGTTTGGGGGAGTTGCATACATACTGTGGATGAAAAAAAACACATTTCGCGCCGCTTTTGAAACCCGGGGAAACCATAACGCTTGTTGGTATTTACAGGGGAACCATCATTCCAGGGTTTCTCATTCCAGAACCATCAGATCATGGGATGCTGGCCACAAAATCTGGCCCACACAAAACACACGGGAAGTAATATATGATATGATACTGTTTCATATTTTGCATCTATCCAGATATAGTGTTGGAGACCCGGAAAAGTCTAGTCGGCGATTTTTTCTGTTTAGGTCCTCAATCAATTCTAATGGTTCCCTTGGTTTACCTTCAACCAGCTCGTCTCTCAAAAGAATGCTCGTGGATCCAGTCACCACTATAGCAGCTTCTGTTTGACCTCATGTTCTTTTCATGGTGCGTCGGCCTTGGTTGTCTGGGCAACTAGGCACAAACACCTGTTTTTTTTTTGTTTTGTTTTTTTGGGGGGGGGGTTAGAAACAATAATAATAATAATAATATATATATATTATATTTATTTATATATATATATATGGTGTGTATGTATATATAATATCTCGTCCTTTCGGAGGCCTCCGGAAAAGAACAAAAAACTCGGCCAGCTGGGCCCAGGAAGAGGCCAAAGACGCCCACGAAGGTTGGCAAGCGGTAGAAGCGCTCGTTGTAGCCTGGTAAAAGATGGCGCCCCAAAGCGGGTTTCCTTTTTCCTTGGTTGACGTTGGAAGGGGAGCAAAAATTTAAATTTTAGCAGTTAAGTGGGGATTTCCCACTAAACCACAAGAAGCAAAAATGTAAAATGTTTCTCAACAACAACCATGTTTCCCCCCTTGAAAACGACCCAAAGGGACGGGCGCTAAACATCGTCCGCTTCTCTGACATGGACCATGGTGACATGGACAATGGGCGACCAAATTCTGACCAAAATTCAAAGGCGGTAGACGTACTGGGTCTGGTGAAATTCACGCCACACCTCGCAAAAGCAAACGGTGGAATTTTGGGAAAGCCAAAAGTTCGGAAAGTCGGTGTTGGGAAGCGGTCCAGGAGACAAGAGCTTGTCAGCCAAGAGGGATTTGCACAACGAGGGAAAGTGTCCGTTTGCAACCGTACCAAGGTGGTTCTGCAGCACCCCTTTTTGGGGTTAGCTACGAATCAAGCCACATGTCAAGCCAGCAATGGGTCGTAAGCAAACTCCTGAAAAGGACAAAAGGCTCCACATGAGAGCTGGTAGGGGACATTGGAAGCATCCTAAGGGCGACATGCATTTTCCATTTGACTTATCCAAGCCGGATGGCTCAATCCTGTGCAAACTGTTCAACCGTTTTGCTGAGTGCGCAAACATCGCCATCCCCCAAAAAGTTCAGGTCCAAGGATCCAACCAAATCTAGGTCCTCCAGTAGAGAGGTTAAAAATACTGATACCCTTTTTTCTGCAGTCTATTTTAGTAGGGGAACCCTCCCTCAAAAAAGGGTGAGAAAGGGCACCTACCTTAAAAACCTAAAAATAACAGCTAAGAAAAATGGAACTTCCGCAAGTCTTCTGACCAACCCCCCCCCCCCACACCAGTTTCTTTCCCGAGGGCTGCCTGCATCAAACTTGGAGCTGCGTCTATTGGCCGCGGGCCCGCGGCCGGTAGAGCGCACTTAAACTACGGCTGAATCCTGCAATCTGGGCAGCTCTCAGATCCCCCGCTAAACGTGACTAACTTTTAGCGGGCTAACTGGAAACTACCACTAAACACTAAAAGGCTAGACGGCTAAGGAACAGGATGGCACCAAGAAATCAATGAAAGGTACAGGCAGCCTTGTGGTCCACGATCTCTTTCTACCACCACCACCACCACCACCCACCACCCACCACCCACCACCCACCACCCACCACCCACCACCCACCACCCACCACCCACCACCCACCACCCACCACCCACCACCCACTATTCACCACCCACCACCCACCAACCACCACCCACCACCCACCAACCACCCACCCACCACCCACCACCACCCACCCACCACCCACCACCCACCACCCACCCACCACCCACCACCCACCACCCACCACCCACCACCCACCACCCACTCACCACCCACCACCCACCACCCACCACCCACCACCCACCACCCACCACCCACCACCCACCACCCACCACCCACCACCCACCACCCACCACCCACCACCACCACCGCGCCTGCTCGTCCTAACAAACCTGTATCCTCTCGTCTTGCCAGAGCCTCTAACATACGTTCCGGCCTTTTGCGAAAAAACTCGCCACCCGCAAAACCCACCCGCTCGCTTTCGCTTCTCCCCCCGCCCGAGTTCTTTCGCGAATTTCGACGTCGGGAAGCCGTTGGGCTGGAAGCGGATGTCCGCGGTGAAGGTCGCCACCACGCACAAGACCCCGTCCATGAACACCCTCGGGCGCGTGCGTAGGTGCGGGCGTAGGTGCCACCGAGAAAAAGCGCGCGCGTGCAGGTAGGGCGGCCTTTGTTTTTTTGTTTTCTCCCGGATAATTACCACTAGTGGTAGCCTCACATCCGGGAAGGGGACTTGTTCCAAAATACAATGCCTAAACTTTCTGTTTAACACTTAAATGGTCATCGGGTAGATTCAGGTCAGGTCAACATGGTTGAATATCTGGGTGTCTTGGGAGGATTCACCGGCTTGGGATACGTCAATAGTGGATTCAGAGCGGCTTTGACACGGGGAGACCCTTCCAGCATTCCTTTTGGAGGTTGCCTTATCATTCAGGCATGTTTCATGGGGGCCCCCTGAAGGTGTGGGTTCCTTTGGTTCCTATGATCAAACTACCCTTTTTGAGAACCCCCCCGCCAAACAAAAAGAAAAAATAAGAAAAGCAGGAACCTAACAGACAAACAACAAACGGCTAAAGGGTGATTTTGCGTCATGCTCACCCTTTCACACAACCGTAACCTCTTGATGGAACCCTCAGAGCCTTCAGTAACCCTAGTATGCAACGACCAGAACCTTCCGAAATCCGGGACCCAATCATTTGTTTCACAAGTCTTGGTCAATGTTCAACTCAACACCCAGGATATTGAAGCTTTTCTACCATCTACAAGATGCGACCAAACGTTGCCTCAGTCAAGTAGTTGTACACTTGCGTCACTTACACTTGGTTGACCTTGGAAGGGGAGCACAAGTTAATTTTAAGCAGCTTTGTGGGGATTTCCCACTATACCACAATTTGCAAACATGTAAAATGCTTCCCAACAACAACCATGTACTGATTCCGAGCCACACCAGAAACGAACACATTTCAGCCTAGGGCCTAGTGACCCGGGGCCATCAAGGACAGTGACCAGTAGGCCGCCAGTCAGCGAACATGCTCAGGGCTTCTCTCTTTGTTCGCGGGGGGCCTGTCATTTTCTACCCCCTGCCCAGTCCTTTTGGTGTCCCTTTACAACCCTCCCCAAATCGGTTGACTGGCGCCTTCCGCAAAAAAATACAACTTTCGGAGGTTCAAATTGAGAGAACCATCCAAAAAAAACTGGGCTGCCCTCCCCCGCTAAAAGTGACTACCTTTTAGCGGGTTAAGGGAAACTACCACAAAAAACACTTAAAAGCTAAAAAAGGCTAAGGAACCGGATGGCTGGAGCCACCAAAAAAAGGTGCCCCAAAAAAGGGTAACCCTCAAAAAAAAGGGGAACCCTCCAAAAGTGCCCCCCCCCCCAAAGAAAAACACAAAAAACTCCAAGGGTTCCTAAAAAAAGGTTCCCAACAGGTTCACTTTCGCAGGTGCAATGCCATCCAAAAAAAGGGGCGCCCAACCGAAGGGACGCAGATCCCGCGCTCGCCGCTTTGAGCGGAGCCGCGCCATGGAGACGAGGTAGATGCCCAGCTTCAGCGGCAGGAAGACGCAGCAGGTGCCTCAGTGTTTCGGGGGTCCCGTGGGGATAGACCACCAGCTTGGGCCCTAAGAAAAACCAAAACGAAACCTGGGCCAATCTAGGAACTCGGTGGCTTTCTGCTCCCCTGAAAGTGAATATTTTTGTGGTTTCGTACGGAAGACTCATTACTTGGCAAAAAGTGAAAGTCCTAACATCCAAGCAAAATGCACCAATGGTTCTTTTGGCTTCGCCAGCGTGTGTACGCATAAAAGGTGGATACATATATATATATATATATATATATATATCTCATCTATACATAGATGCATATGACAGTTGATGTATACTCTGCCATCTTCATGCGGAAAACACTCGTTCGTAAATCTTGCGCGACCCCATCGCCACACGCAGTGTGCGCGCTGGAGCCATTTTGGCCGCAGTTAAACTGCTTGCGCACCATTGCCGAGCAGTTCACTTGCACTGGCAGGCTTGCAGCGCGAAATGAAAGCAGTGACTATATCATTCGTCCTTGGGGCGGGGACTGCTCCGTGCTGGGCCCAACGTGCGGACGGAACCTTGCAAGCTGGGCTTTTGCGAGGCAGGGATTTAACGATGCAAGTAAAGGTGCTGCACATCTCTCTGTCTACAAGGGAGTAGGGTCTGCCTATATAAGTGCACAGGCATATCTCCAAGCACAGGTATATCTCCAAGAGCCCAACAAAGATCTTTCGCAGGAACCCCCTCATCACGAGCAGTGGCAACTTCTGCCTGGGCAAAGTTATAGCGACCTCGCAAAGGGCTTTGGTTTGCGATCAGCCCGGGGCGGGTCCCTTATTTCTGTTGGGTGAATTACCTGCACGGCTTACTTAGTTGGGACTATAGTGAGGCCAATGTTCATACATGGGTATGTGTTTTTTTGACGTGGCCGTGCCGGGAGGTTGTTTACATGCGGGTTGGTCAAAAGGTAGTAATGTTAATTTAAAATTTGTTCGCGGGAGATCTGCGATGGAGTATTGTTTCTCTCCCCCAACCCCTGCAAGTGATGGTGAACATGAGAGGTGCTCAAAACGCCCTCCCTGGCCTCGGTTGGGTATTTGAAGGGAAACCAGCCCCTGTTTTGTGAAACAGCAAAAGGCCTGCCAGTTCACAATTCATAGTTGATGGGCACCATGCATTGGACACTCCTCATGGATGCCAAGATATCCAGACCCAAAATGTGCCATGCTAAATTGCGTGGGTTTGGCCATGGTTGCTGGACAAGCCCTTGTAACAGTTGTTCCCTATGAAGAGTTAGATGAGAAATACAACCGGAAAACGGTTGACCATCCCCATGAGCTGGATGAGCCATCCCTAGGTCAAAGGGTGCTTTGACCAAGGAAAAGGGTGTGGAGCCCAAGCACAAAGGTCCGTCGGTTGACTTCATATGGGCATGGGTCAAAGGCCCGTACCCCCAGTAAACATCGGTGCACCTACCCCGAAATAGTACCACGTACCATTGATTTTGACCCACAGCCATATGGATTCCATGCTCTGGCGGACCCGCTGCGGATCAAAATCGTAGTTGTCCTCTTGGCGTCCCTTTGCAAGCCACAAAAGATGGGTATGCTTAGAAAAAGACATATCCCCGTTTCTGGGTCACTATTCTGTGTCCAAGGCGAATCCTTATACTCGAGCTTCCGTCCAATTGGTTCTTTGGATTGGTGGTTTGGTGGTTAGGGGACATTTAAAAAATACGTCGCTTCGACCCACCCTCCACACTCAACACGGTTGTGTGAATTCAAGCCTGGTTTTCGAATGGCTTGGGGCCTATGACTGCTCAACAAGCTTTGCATTGAGAGCCTTATCCATCTGTCTGTGTGTCAAACTCCACTTGTCTGCGAGCCGATCTCGAGAACTCAAACGTCGGTTCCGTCAAACAAAGCCAAGCCCCTTCCAAAAAAATCGACGGGGGATTAAACGAAGTTGCTTACTCACATCCCAAAGCAACACAAAAGCATCACCCTTTCCGAGCCTCAGGGTAAACATGAAATGTAAACCCAACTGTGGGCCGGGCGGGACACTAAGCAAAACCAGACTGGCAAGCTGCTCTGGCGGGATACTGGCGGGCTCCACTGGCGAGCCGCTCCGGCTCGATACTGGCCGGATAGCGGGATACTCGGGGGATACCGGGCGGGATCCACTGGCGAGCCGCTCTGAGGCGAGCAGCTCTGGCGGGATACTGGGCGGGATCCAGGCCAGCTGCTTTAGCGGAAGACTGGGCGGGATCCACTGGCGAGCCGCTCTGGCGGGATACTGGGCGGGATCCACTGGCGAGCCGCTCTGGCAGGATACTCGGCGGGATCCACTGGCGAGCCGTACTCGGCGGAATCCACTGGCGAGCTGCTCTGGCGGGATCCACTGGCGAGCTGCTCTGGCGGGATACTCGGCAGGATCCATTGGCGAGCTGCTCTGGCAGGATACTGGGTGGGGGAGTGGTGTGGAAGCATCGCAAACGCGGCTTCCAACATAAAATCTAACAACCCCTTCCTGTCGGGTGTGGAAAAACGTAGAGACCTCGGCAACCATGCCGCTCCGTGCCCAGTCCTGAGGCCCCGGCAGAAAACATGTTGCGGGTGTTACGAGAGAAGCCCACCGAAACAAATCCGACAAATCCGAAAACCGCGGAAACCACGTGGTTGTGGGTCAAACATTGGTACCCCAAATGGAATTATGGTCAATGGAAACATGGACTAAAACCTGCGGTCCCCTGGTGGGTGAATTTTGACCCATACCCAAGTTTCTACCACCCCGCAACAACTGCTTTTGGGACAGTACTTGGAATTTTGGGCATGGGAACAAGCTCCGTTGGGGGTCGCCGGGTTTACTTTCTATATAGTGGCTTTGGACAGGAATTTGGTCGAAGCGATCAAAAACAAAATCGGTCCCTCTGAGTCACAGGCCATGATCTCGCACGAAGGCCATGGTGTTTGGCCGATGCGTGCTGCGAAAGCTTCCTGGGGTTCCTCTAGGCACGAGGAAGCATGGGGGCAACTTGGGTCGTTTTTGGCCATGAAGCCGTTTTTGGTGAGAGAAAAAATGATAAACCTGGGGCCCCAAAAACGTCAAGTCCGGTGGTTGCTCCGGTGAGGACTTTTCCAAAGATGGGAGGCCAACTGGCGATGCGCCGGTGGGTTCCGGCGGGGGGTACGCTACCTGGCTTGAGCCTATGCGGGCGGTTGACGCTAAAGACCTGCTTCAGGGCTGGTCATGGAGTCAGTTAAAAAAAATCAGATCCGAGGTCCTCCAGTAGAGAGGATAGAATAAGGATACCCTGTAAGTTATTTTAGTAGGCGAACCCTCCCCCAAAAAAAGGGTAACAGGGCACTACTGGGGGACCTAGGATCACCAGCAAAGCGATTATTCAGGAAACCGAGACCCATGCCGAAGTTCTGACCGCAGATCGTTGTTTTTTTCTTTGCAAGTGGTGAACTCTTTGGAGGCTGGCTTAGGAAGACTAGAAGCACGCGTTTCAGGAGATTGCTGACATGACAAGGACGAAACGTTTTTATGGCTCTCAGATTGCCGGCCTCTTTCCCTTGAATCACCTGGCCCAAACGTGTGCTTCTTTGTGGGAGATTGTTTTTTGGTTTGCTTGCCTTTTTTGTCAGGAATCCTTACATTACACACCTGAACATTGCCTTGTAAATTGTGGTTTCCCTTTAATTTGGTGGAAAAAGCCGTGTTTCAAATTGGCAACATGCATCTTTTAAGGAGCCCTATTACCGTTCGGGGGCTGGGTGCCCCCAAAAGTTGCCCGGATGGCTGGGGGCATCAGGCGTCTCCGCAAGTCTCACAACTGAGAGCGAGAGAGAGTCAACTGAGATTCGGGTTTCCCCGCATGCGACGAAAATTGCAAACACCTGGTGCCCCCCACTTGACAGAGCTTCGCGAGGGACGAAACAAATTTCACCTATTTGGGAATGCTTCAAAATAAGGGAGCGCCCAACATGGCTTTCCTTTCGATCTGTCTTGCAACCAACCTGTGTCTGGTTTTGAGGGACCCCCTATTTCTTTTCGGCGACTTTACCTCTTTTGCTCCCCCAGACAAGAGACACATCCACACTAGAAAGAGCACTCTCCAAAGAACCATGCGCTACCCTGCCTACTAACATGGCACCTGACAGAGGGTCCAGGGAGGGAAATGTCTTTTGAATGTATCCCCACTCCATTGCCCGTTTCCGGGGCCCTAGGCTCGCGAAGGCCGGCCAAGGGCTCTGAAATCGGAGATATTCGAAAATCCGACCCCAGGTGGTTTTCCGGGTCCACTTCGTGAGCTGAGAAATCGGTTCAAAGGAGATCCCAGTTGTCAACCTTGAAGCAGTGTGTCTGTGTTTTTATTTTTTTTTTGTGTGTGTGTTTGTTTGTTTGTTTGTTTGTTTGCTTGTTTGCTTGCTTGCTTGCTCGCTTGCTTGCTTGCTTGTTTCTTTGTTTGTGCACATTTGGGTGTCTCCGAACGCATTGGGCAGCACCTGGATTGAGGAAATCAACACCAACGGCTCTTCTTTTTCTACAGGATCTGGAGTAAAAACAGTTGATGTTGGTTCGTTTTTCCTTGCCGGTGCTCAGGGAATGAGACATGGAATGATTTCGAGACAAACCATTCAACTGGTGGCTTCCTTTGAGGGGACCAATTCCTTGGGTTCATTCTCAACACCCGGAACGGTCATTCCCTACTGAGCACCAGCAAGTTGTTAGGAAAACTAAAACATGATTAAGACATGCAGTTGCTAAGAAGGCACCCAGAGGAGGAAACCACCCATTTGGAGGGGGGCTGTCCTAAAATTGGAGAAACCCCTTTGAAAGCTATCTAAACTTGAACCCCCCCAAACAAAAAGGTGTTTGAGGCCCGCCATTCTTGGAACCCTAAGAAATCTGTCCAAACGCTCTCGCCTGGAGCAGTGGGGGAAAACAAAACAAGAATCCAAAGCGAATCCCAAAGCTAGTGCTGCGAGTCAGCTCAATTTGATCGTAACCCACAAGTCGCAACCGCACCGCCCACCTTTTCTCAACCGCAAGGAGTCTCGGGTGCCGGAAGCGCAGGCTTCAGTTCTGGGGGTGCTCCGACAGGAAAAGCGCCACACCTGTCCTCAAACCAGGCCACTTGACCAGACTAAGATCTGCAAGCAGAAAACTTCTTGCGGCCAAGGGAAAATGCCGGTCATCTCAAAAGCTCACTGGCTAAGTGGGTGGCCCAAAAAAAGTCCAAGCTTTATATTTACCACTAATATAGTCTTCCCAAAAAGTTTAAAGTTCATGAACTCAGGAAGTGAGAAAGACAAAAAGTTGTCACGGCGAGTCTGGCAATGACTTCATTTGCCCTGTACTGATGCCAAGACTGATTGGAGAACTGTGCCAGGGTAGTCTTCAACGGCGACCCGCCCTTGCCATGAAGCTGGTCCTCACCAGATCCAACCCTTCAGGGAGTGAAAGTTCCAGCCCTCGACACAGATGAGAAAAAAAAAAAAGCAACGACACAGGGAACCCCTCGCTACGTTCTGTGCTCTTACATGTTCGGTACTTCCCGAGCCCAAGTGGCCATGGTGTTGAGAAAAAAAACGGGTGGAAGTCCCAGGCTCGTTTCAGGTGGATTGCCTGTTTGAAGGAGGGGATCTGTGTCCGTTTGAAAATAGGGGAAGACCCCTCCAAACATCTCAAACCAGCCCCCTGGATCACCTCCAAATACCAACGCTGTTGGTCTCATTATCATTTGTCAAATCTCTACCCAAAAACAGGTTCTTCTAACAACCATTGGGTTTCTACGGAGAAAAAAAGGGCGTACCTTCATGGTCAAAATTAACAACTACCAGACTGCAAAGGTTTTAGTCCATGTGTCCATTTACCAGGGTTTTCAAAATGGTTACCTATTTTTGACACAGCCATTTTCGAGGCAGATCCATATGTTGTGGCGATGTCCGCCCTCGGTGCAGCTCGGGTGTCGTCAAGCGCAACCCCGGCAAAACTCTGAGCGGGCCAGCGGGCATTCGTTTGGCGCCCTCAAACATAAACACGTCCATACAGCGAGCACTAAGACTTCATTTGCCCCGATCAGCGAGACGAAACTTGGTTGAGACAGATCCTGGCATTTCTCTGAATCAGCCGCAGGCCCAAAAACTCTAAAAAAATCCTGGAAGACTCAAGCAATAGGCGAGACCGTGGGTCTCACAGCGCTCGAAAGCATTGCCGCACCGTTGCAAGGATTCCAGAGTTGTACGCTCAAGCTCAAGGTGGAAGCCAACATGAAACAGACTATTCTCAGATTCCCTGCCAAAAGTTTAACTTGTGGGTCAAATGGAAACCTCCGCTAAGCCAAACAAGCTAAAACCTAGGGGGATGGCTGGGAACCACCAAGATTTCACCTTGCTTTGACCTTTTGGCTTCTGGAAAACAGGTCGCCGTTTGTGTAGATTGACTGATCCATGCCCGGTGTCTCAAACTAGGCGAAATTCAAAAACAAATCGGCGGTTTCCGCATACCATTCCAAGCTTACCAAAACTTGGTTACAGGTAGATCCAGTTGCAAGCAACAAACAGTTTGGTTCCGTAGAACATGGGACATATCTTCTAGGCTGGAATTAGGACCCCAGCAAGAAAAAATATATATCTTTGCCTGGTTAGTGGCCCAACAAACAGTTCAGTTCCGTAGAACATGGGACATGTCTTCTACGCTGGAATTGGGACCCCAGCAAAAAAATATCTTTTTTGCCTGGTTAGTGGCCATGCAGAATCCACTGAACAACTGGGTTGCACAACCAGAGGGGAACCTCCACAGCTCAGAGCGCAATGCCACCTCGATCATGATCCACGGACACTTCTCAATATCAAATCTCGGTTGCTTTCTGCTCCCCTTCTAAAAGCTTAACTTTTAGTGGTTTAATGGAAAACCCATTTGTTTGCAACAAGTTAAAGTGC